GAGAGTTTAGGGAACATCCCTGGGTTCTGGCAGCAGCTACTGTAGTCTAAGCCCCAGTGGAATCCCAGGTACTATTTCCCCTTCATGCTCTCCCTTTAACATGTTTTTAATCCAGAAAAGCAGCATTTGCTTTCTCTGATTGGGTTGACAAATGTGAAAGTCCTACTTCTCTGTAAATAAGCTCACGTCCATGAAAGGTTTTTGTAAACAAACTCAGGTGTGTTACAAAGCAGTAAGGCAGTAGGGTTATTATTGCCAGGAGAAAAGGGCTTATGCTAGAGCTCACTAATGAATCTGGTAAAATTGCAAGGCTGGGTATTCCCTTTTTATATCAAGCTATGTTTTCTTCAGATACATCATCTATGCATTAAGAAATTTTTTAAAATCCACTTTGGAATTCTACCTAGTTACTCCAGGATAACTGAACATAAGCGCCACTTTGGCACACAGTGTAGTTATATGATTTGTGTCCGGATAGAGTGGACCTGCCAGCTCAGCCCTGGAGGAGAAGCAGAGGCTGTACCTACCTCCTGTACCCACTGTCAGTTCCTTCCATCTTCATGGCAGTGGGTACCTGCTGGGCTCAGGGCTGGCACTGGGCATGTAGAGTGAAGACAGGCAGGTCTTGGCTGCAAAGGTGCTGACAATGGAAAACATTTTGCAAAAGTTTAAGTGTACTAAACCCACTTCAAATTATATTTTCCATAATTCCCTTCAGAACCATTTGTCTTTCATCATGATAGCAACCCACAATTTATTATATCAGGATATCAGGGCTGATGATACAAGTCAGCCTGCAAATGTAGACTTTCCTGCCCAGTTTGGAGGTGTTTGCATTCAGGAGTCTCACCCGGTGCTAGTTTCTTCCTCTTTCAGGTGCTCAGGTGCTAGATACAAGACCTCAGTCAATTAGAGCTTGATGGACCTCTTACAGCCTCAAGGCACTCTGATATCTCAGTTGTAGGAGATTATATACATTCTAAGCAGAAAATAATGGAGGCAGCAAAGACTTCCAACTCTATCAAATCACACTCCAATCACAAAAGTCAATTACAAACCTTTATAAATAAAATATAATGCAAAATAGCACCATGCACCATCAGAAATGCACCTTGCAATGAGTAGAAAGCTCTTTTCAAGAAATCAAAGAAACAAAGAATGTAAACCAAATTGGTGAGTGAATTGGAGACGTCATGTGGTGATTTAGCCCCTAGGGCTTGGTGCCTGAAGTGATGCACTCCAATTCTGCTCAGGAATCTCTATTTTACGTCTTCCCAACATGTGTCAAGAGTCTCCAAAAATTTATTCTCAATTTCTTTTGAATGAATGTCTACTAAATCAATAAGTAGAGACATGGGTAAAATCTGTGGTCTAAGATATTCAATGCAATATTATTTATAAAAAATTAAAAATGTTGGAGACCATATAAGTATCTAGTTATAGATGGGTAATAAAAAATTATAGTGCTATGAATACTGTACCACCATTAAAATTATGTTTTGAAGGAATTTTAATGTCATAATAATATGCTCATGATATAATATTGAATTTCAAAAACACATACATATATGTACAGGTATAGTTCAATTAAGTGTCCAAATATATATACATATATGCACTGAAAAACAAGCATGAAGAAAATATACTAAGTGATGGAACTAGAGAGTTTTCTACAATCTTTAGAATAAGAAAAAAAGTAGAAAAGCAATCAGGCTGTCTCCAGATTATTAATTAGTATCTGGTGACAAATAAAATAAGTAGCTTTTATTTACAAGCTCTTTCTTCCATTTAGATTTGAGTACCTTGAGAGTAAAGACCCTATCTGCTATTTATTTTTCCTCCTGTATACTACAGGGCTTTTTGCACATGGAAGCAGTTAACTAATAAGTCTAAGGAGAAACAGCTAATATGATCAATTCAGTGATCACTTCTAAAAAGGCACCATGGTCAATCTGTCAACAAAATGATCCGCAACTCACCAGGTGAAATTCTACAGCAATGAAGATGCCCAAATTCCCAGTGTAGAGGAACACCAAAAAAATTAGGGTCAAGCATATCTGAGTTCCAACCCTAACTTCATCACTTCACAGTTAAGTAAATTTGACTCAGTTACCTACTTCTGTGAGCCCCAGCTGGATCATTGGTAACAATACCACTCATCAAGGTAGTTATAAGAATTAAAGGAGGTACAGTGCCTGGGAAATTGTTGCTATCTTCTTTCCCCCTTTTGAAGCATGAATCATTTCACCAAGAAACAGATGTGAATAATTAAAATTGTCGTCAGCATCATTAAATATCTCCTTTTGAAGAACTCAAAGGATTTACCATTAAATTTTAAATGGTATCCGTGTGGACAGAATCCACCCACATCTAGAAAACTAGAGGTTGAGTCTTTGTTCTTGCTGCCAGTGATTCAATTTTTCAGTATTTGCCTGAAAACCTCTTGTTGTTTCATCAAATCTGATTGGGGTGGGACACTCATTTCCCCAGGGTCTGGGGTTAAGCATCCTATATGAAAGTCACATCGCGATCAGGAGAGACGAATAATTTGTCTCAGTTCATTTATTTTCAAAAGCCTCTTGAGGCAGGAGAAGAGGTGGATAGGAGGAGCTGTGAAAGAGTAACCAGTTTTATGAGGTGAAGGGATATCATTTTCATAATTTAATACTAGGAAGCAGAATTATCTTTGATGAAATAGTTATCTCGGAACTTAAGTAGCTATTTCTTCTGTGTTTTCCCTCTTACAGTACAGGGACTTTGCATGGAATGTAACAGAGCCATATGAAAATTTATTTTCTGTCATCTTTCCTCTCACGCTTCAGTTTAGATAGTTCCCACTGATTTGTTTTAAAGTTTATGTATTTTTTTCCTTCATTGGGGGTCAAATTACTGTGAAGTTCAGTCAGTAAATTTTTCATTTCACGTAATTTATTTTTCAGTTCTAGAATTTTCACTCAGTACCTTTATTTATTTATTTTGAGGTTGCATACATTTCCCCCAGCTTTACTGATATATGATTGTTATACAAAAAACTGCACATATTTAGTGCATACAGTTTGATAAGTTTGCACATATGCCTACATCCATGATAACATCACCACAATCATGGTCATAACATAAACATGTCTGTTACCTCCAAATGTTTCCTTTTAGTTTTTTGCTTGTTTTATTTTATTTTATTTATTTTTGTTTTGCTTTGTGGCAAAACTAATTCACATGAGATCTATGTTTTTAACAAAATTTTAAGTGCACAATACCATATAGTGAACTGCAGACACTATGCTGTACAGCAGATGTCTTTTCATCTTGTATAAATGTAACATTATACCTTTGAACAACTCCTCATTTTCCTCTCCCCCATCCACTGGCAACCACTATTCTACTTTCTGCTTCTATAAATTTGACTATTTTAGATACTTCATGTAAATAGAATTATGCAGTATTTGTCCTTTTGTGACTTACTTATTTCACTTAGCAAAATTTCTTCAGGGTCCATCCATGTTGGGACAAATAATAGAATTTCCTTCTTTGTTAAGGCTGAGTAATATTCCATTGTCTTGTATACTGCATTTTCCTTATTCATTTACCTATCAGTGGGTACTTGGTTTGTTTCCACATCTTGGCTACTGTGAATAATGCTGCGATGAACATGGAAGTGTAGGTATTGCATCAAGATCCTGATTTCAATTCTTTTGGCTCTATATACCCAGGAATGGAATTGCTGGACCAAGTGTTAGTTCTATTTTTAAATTCTGAGGAACTTCCATACTGTTTTCTATAGTGGCTGCACCATTTTACAGTCCCACCAACAGTGCATGGTGCATAAGGATTCCCTTTTCTCTGCATCCTTGCCAATATTTGCTATTTCTTATATTTCTGATAACAGCCATTCTAACAGGTGTAAGGTGACATCTCACTGTGGTTCTGATTTGCATTTCCCTGATGATTAGTGATGACGAGCCCCTTTTCATATATCTGTCGGCCATTTGCATGTCTTCTTTGGAGGAATGCCTATTCAAGTCCTTTGTCTCTTTTTAAATTGGGTTATTTGGTTGTTGTTTGGTTTTGTTTTGCTATTGAGCTGTATGAGATCCTTATATATTTTGGAAATTAATTTCTCATCAGTTATATGGTTTGCAAATATTCTTTTCCCATTCTGAGGGTTGCCTTTTAATTCTGTTGATTGTTTCCTTAGCTGTGCAGAAGCTTTTTAGTTTGATGTAGCCTCACTTATTTATTTTTCCTTTTGTTGCCTGTGCTTTTGGTGTCATGTCCATGAAATTATTACCAGATTAATGTCATAAAGATTTTCCCTGCTTTCTCTAGGAGTTTTACAGTTTCAGCTCTTATGCTAAGTCTTTAATCCATTTTGAGCTGATTTTTTTATAGAGTATAAGATAGGGGTCCACTTTTATCCTTTTACATGTGCTCATCCAGTTTTTCCAGTATCATTTGTTGAGAGACTATCCTTTCCCCATTGTGTATTCTTGGCACTCTCTATTTAGTTCTTTTAAATAGTTTCTATTTCTCTGGGGACATTTCCCATCTGATTATTCATTGTGGATATTTTCTTTAGATCCTTAAACATAATTATAATAGTTGCTTTACAGTTTTGTGTGCTAATTCCAGAACTGTGTTATATCTGAGCTTGTTTCTGTTAAACGTTATTTCTCCTGGTTATGATTCATGTTTTCTTGTTTCTTCATATATGAGTAATTTTTTTTACTGTGAGCTGAACATTTTAGATGCTCCTGTGGGTTTTGTTGAGCTCTTTTAAGAGTATTAAGTTTTGTTCTAGGGAACAATTAATGGGAGGTTTAGCTTAATCCTGTTGAATCCTAGTTTTACTCTGTATTAGACAAGATGAAGGGTAGCCTTTACTCCAGGACTTCCCTAAGGTGTAGTCTTTCTATTATTTCACCCAAATAACCAGAGTATGTGGTGAGATCTCTCCACTCTGGCTAATTAGAATTCAGATGTCTCCCCAGCACTGCGAAATCCCCAGAATCTTCAGTCAGCATCATGGAGTCTCTCCATCTACATGTGTTGCTCAGAGTTTGGCCAAAGACTTGCTGATATCTAGGTCTCCTTCTCTGTGCAGCTTCCTTCTCACTAGTACCTGACCCCCAAATTTCAGCTATCTTACTGTCCCTGAGTCCCAATTTCTGTTTTCTCCCATCTCTGGCTTCATTTCCATATACTACCTTTATAAAGAGCCCCCAAGTAGAAAACCAGGGTGAATGTGAAGGTTATTTTATGTGTTTTCCTTCTCGTAAGAAGCTTAGCTCTGCAGTGTTCAGTGCTTAATAACTGAAAAGTTGCTTTATGTATTTTGCCAGTTTTACAGTTGTTTGCTGTAGGAGGGTGAGTCCACACCAGGTACTTCATTAAAGGTGGAACTAAAAGTCCGATTGGCTGAATTTTTTTTTTACTTTTAAGTTTATTTTTTCACTGCATATACAACAGAGTATAATTCAACACTTTAAAAGGGACAATTTTTATAGTGTTACTGATTCTACCACAGCTCCAACCCCAGTATTTCGTGATCAGTATAGAAAAAAGAGGGGGAGGTTAACTGAGAATATGTGACATGTAAAAACTTCATAGCATTCACTCTAGTAAGACTGATTTCTCACTATAAACTAAAGCATGAGTCAAAGAAGATGTTTTTGCCCTGGATTAATCCAGTGCAGATTTGGATTTCTA